ATGGGTAGCCCTCGCATATCCCCGAACTATGTCACGTTATCAAGAATAGCTGACCTCATGGGCCCTAACCGCTGGGTTTGCATACCCCTGCTTGGATCTTGATTATTTATAATAAAATTTATTATTAAACAACAAAAATGCCTTTACTCATAGGTGTTAAAATATTTAAAAAGTTACAAAAAAAAAAAAAAGGATAACAATAATCCAACCTGAAGAAAACCTTTTTACACCTTTTTATTTCCAAATGATTTAGTTTACACATACTTAAATGATAATGCCTTTCATTTAATCATCCAAAATGTTATTTTTGATTTAGAATGAAAAACTAGTTGCCAGGACTGAAATATCCGCAATCAATGCTGGGTTTGATCATAGAGTAGCATTGACGGATATATTGGTTTTCGTTTTTCGTATCATTTAACCTAAAAATGTGTTTTATTGTGTGCTATGTCTTGAACGCAGGTGTATCGTTTTTTACTTGATATATTTATTTATATTTGTTCCAGTTAAAATCTATTTCAGTTAAAAGCCTTGTAGTTTTACAGTTGTTTCTTTGCCCTTCCATTATGATTTGGAGGCCATTTTTATTAAAATAACTTGCAAAAAAGAAATAAATGATCGCACTTTGCATGGATATAAACATAAATATGCAATGATGAACAATGGAGTGGAGCATTAAATTTTTTATTTGAATGTATGGCTCTCGCGATTCATATAACAAATTGACGGCCATCTTGAATTTTGAAAAATTATCAATATTTCGTACGTATCAACTGGCAAATGAAGTCAAGCTTATAAGCTTCTCTAAGTTTTGTAACCCAGATGAAATAATTTCTTTTAAAAAAGCTTGCAAGATAACATAGCAAGCTTTGGCTATAGGGCTCGTCGGAGTGGCAATTAGACTCACAGGAGATGGCACTGTCTGCCACCATCTGATTAATGTCAAATAAGCAGTTTCTGAGAGTTTAGGATCATTATTAACAAATTATCATAATGGACATAAATAGAAAAGGCAGATATGTTTTTAATAAGGCTAAATTTGCAAAAAATCGAACTTATTTTGCAGCTTTTTTACTTTCTACCATGTGTTTTGACGGCCATTTTGGGTTTTTTGCTATATGTTATGGGCTTAACTGTATTCACTAGTACTGTTGTGCTCTCCTGATGGAATACACGTTCAAAAAAGCTGTCAATAAAGTTTACCCGGCGACTTCTGGTCGCTTTTCTATTTANTTGGCCTACTGTTTTTTCATCAATTTTATGGTTAACATGTACAGAAGATAACATGCGTCATAATCATTTTTCATGGGGTATTGCACTGCGTTGTAAATATTTTTAAAAGGCACTACATGTTACCTGCGCTGTAGAAGACTAACCGGGAACATATTCTACAACAGACACTTCCTCAATGCATCTTCAACATACATCGTATGTCTAACACTAATAAAGAGATGTCTCTTCATCTCTTTGTGCTAATGAACGCGTGGGAGAGATCTATGCGACAATAGTATTAGTGCTATAAGATCCAATTTTTCATTAATCATGCTCATTAATGAAACGCAGTCCTGCCACAAATTACAAAGTAATCAAAAGGCGTAAATTTTCGTGGTATGATTGTCTTCAATATTTCCAAATGGTTAGGATCAAGCTAGATGACAGATAATTGGTTCTCTGTACTTTTTTTCTTGAGAATGTCAATAGCGGTACAAAAGGGTGGAACTCCAATTTCGTATTCTATTATTAAGTAAGTGCCATCGAGGTTCAACAAATTGATATATCCCGTTGATATAATAATGATATACATGTATAATCATGTGTGCAGGTATTTGAGCACAGCAATTGCATTTCCCGGTATCAATAATCATCACTGGTGGATCTAGGGCTTTGCTTTTAATTAGGGAAAGGATGCCGCACAGAAAGGAATATTTTGGCTCGCTTCTCTGGATAAATATAAAACAGAAGATGGAGAAAATTTTATTGTAACGTGTAGGGTTCAGGGATGAAAATATTGCCTGGATTTAACTCGTTCTTTTTGGGAGGGGTGTAGAAGGGGTTACACCTCAGATGTTAGGGAGATGGGAGGGAGGCACGTGACCCTCTGAATGACAAGAACAGTGTTGGAAGATATGTCACTCCGTATTCCCCAAAGTAAACTGGTAGATAGTGTCCTGGACTGTAATCAAAAAGGGTGAAAATACTGCTTTTATGAATAAAGAGGAGGTGGTTTATCATCACTGATTGCCCTTGGAAAAAAAAGCGACATTGTCTGTACCGGTCCGCTGAGAGTTTGACAACTTGATAGCCAGCTATATGTAACGGATTACATAAACAGAGCCCCCGCGGTATTAATTAACTTAACTAAACCGCAGAAATTGTGTTATTTACTTTGTTTCTGCGGTAGGATATTTTGACTTACCTGGAGGGACAAACCATTACAACAACGTCATTAGACTCGCGTTTAGTAAGCTCATATTGGTCCTTTCTGCGTTAATAAACTCTCCCAAGCAATCGATATTTCTGTAATTCAGTTGTGTGATCAGATCATATTTAGCGGTCAAAGGATATTCCCCTAAATAGGCCTACTGAGAGTGCACTTACACTAAAACTGCAGAAGACATGTATTTATTCAGTCAAACTAAGTATCAAAATTCATCTATACAATGACACGGATCATTATACGTGCTCCGTCTTGGTTGATGGCTTAAAATATAATTTCAAAGAGATATTCAGTAGGGTGATAAGGAGGCAACTAGAGTTCTATTCGCAACACGGAAAGCGTAACTGCTTTTGGTAAATACACCCAAATGCATTTTCAAAACAGAATGTTAAAAACACTATTCAAACCTTTAAGGTGGTCCCTTACTTAAGGCAAGGAGTCATAACTCCTTACTTAAGGTAACTTTGGAAAAGCGATCATAAAACTGTCATGCGCATGAAGCATTTTTTAAATTTGACCATTTTGATTGTAATACGTATTAACGTGGAAATTGAAAAATTCGCCACTGTAAAACAATTATTAACTTTTTCTTTAGAAAGCACTAGCATATCATACCTAAACCTGGGACCATCGCGTTGAGTACAAAACACGTGATGGCCCAGCACTTGTGCATTGTGGGTATCATCATCTTAAAGTCTCGCTCCTCCTCTGCCGTGTAGCTTTCAAAGGAACCCTGCGAACCCACGCGTATAATTTGTCTACTGGCCGGTCTCGAAGAAGCACCATGGTAGTGAGGCATAAGCAGGCGGGCGGCCGTCTTCGGTCTCGTTGACTGGCTCCTTGGAGGGTGGGGGTCCGTATCCAGGGGGTGAACCCCCCGGGCCTGGTTATTTTTAGAGTCATCGTGCTTCGTTGGCGGGTCAGTGGTATCCGCCATTTTGACTTCTGTTGCACTTTCAAGTGAAGATGATACTTCCTATACGTCGACAGTAATGGCCCTTTACTTCCGTTCGATACTATTGGCGAATGTCCTCGCACGTTAGTCCATCATTTTGGCGAGTGATCGTCAGGACGTATCATAATTAGCTCATTCCCTCTCTCTCTTGGGGCGGTACCTATTAACACGCACCATCTATCCGCTTTGTATTGCAAACCATATATTCCTATACCGCCATGTCAATAAAATATAGTTTTGTCACCTTCATTGACTCCACTAGTGAAAGTGCACGGGACACGTTACAAGATCCCCCGTCTTTGACGTGCCTTATTAATCACTCTCTTGGCATTTCCGTAACTATGTACGCATTACTGTCCGTTATACCTTCTCGCCCCGCAAATTGATTGTTTCAGTCACAGTCTTTACGTCGTGCTGTCCTATTAGACTCAGGAATCGATCGATATTGGATCAAATTCTCCGTAGGATATCGGTACACAGTTGCTGTGTTGACACCGTGCCCCATTGTCACGGAGAGCCGTCGCGTTAACGACCAATAATACATTGATTTGATAAATCGATGTGACGAATGTGGTGTAAATTAATTAGCTGTGATAATATATGGCTGTTAGCTGTGTACAAACGGTGTTACTTATATCTAATCATTTTTAATTGGGGCAAATATAATGTGTTCTGAATGAGCATTGTAATGGATGATCCTTCCCCGCGTGTTAGGCCATATGCAAATGTACGCCACCTTACGTATTTATATATCGACAGAAGGATAGAGGTCGCTAAAAACAGGCGCAGTATGGGAGTCGGTGTGATGTACGTGAACCGTTTGCAGCATGCGCACAAAGAGAGCATATTATGTCATCTTGCTAAATCTTATGTCACCGTGCATCTATTTTGCAGGCATTTCGTTCGTTAATTTCATTATTATTCATTCACATCAGCCGAGCTTCGAAAATCTAAAAACACACATCTGTACTACATGTATCAGCATGTGTCTGTCGTTTCCAGACATACTCCCCTGAAACTCGAGGTTGCCGTTATATTACTTTACTGACATTATGAATCGCGTCTGACAAGTTAAGTGTCCAATGAAGAAAATATATAATTCAATTTTCAGATTTGACGATTTTATGTAGAGTTAATATTTAAAATAAGTATTGATATATTTATTATTGTTCGACATCTTTATCCTTTTGCCCCACCCCAAGCAAAATTTTTGGTTCCTCCCGTGCTTGTCACGATCACGCACCTATTCTGCGGCTCTACCTGAGGTCGACACTTAAAGTGGTTGAAACTAAACTGGATAACTCTCACCACCTCCTTAGACAGAAAACTTTGAATGCCTCCATCCAAATATCCAAAGCATACTTCTTTGCATTGATTTCTGTCGTATGACATCCTTCTTGTGTGACGTCACAGCATTTTTCAAAACCGTCAACTGAGGTCGAGTTTAACTTGCAAATTAGGGTGATGAGTGCCATTGCTCACAAGTATAGCTTTGAGTGAAAATAATAAACTGCTCCTCAGGCCAGACAAAAATGCTAAGTTGTTTTGAGGGGAAGAAAATTCCATCGTCATAATCTGGGAGATTTTTTAGCATAAAACATCACTATTAAGGTGTTTTCATAAGTCCATTTGAAAAAATAAATAATTAATTAATTAATTTTTTACAAATCTGACTTCCTTAAAATTAGGGTCGGTCGCGGTTGTTAACCATCTAATAAACATAGTTTGGCCTTAGTGCTGAATCTGATCTGTACTCCAAGAGTGAAAGCTATGTATATTTATAAGTCAAATTGCCCTCATCAGATTAATAAGAATTATGTTGCGGGAGGCATTGCTGCACGTTTGATGAAGTACAGAGAGTACTGTTAAAAACTTACACTTATACCTGCAAGCTATTACTCAATGGATTTAACTTGTGCTGGGAAGACGATATACTGTAAGAGAAATATTGGCAGCTGAATCTTTAGGGGCCTTGAAAAGCAGGTAAGAATTCTAGAGTCCACTGGCGGAAGTCCCTATCGATCAGCCGTTGACTTCAGTCTTTAACTTACAGCTTTATCAAATTTCCTGCCGTTGTTGTTCAGTTGTATGGACGTGATAATTAGAAGAAAAGGTATAGAGATGAACAGAAATCAGGTAAGTGTTAGTGTTTTCTTCAGGGCGTTGTTACTGATAAATAACCATTAAACAGGGTTTTTTTTAGAATCAGCTCACGCCGCATATTTAAGATTCATAAACACTTTTGTAGAATTTAGATTGGGGTCTAATACACACACACACAAAAAAAAAAAAAAGGAAAGAGAGAGAGAGAAGAGAGAGAGAGAGAGAGAGAGAGAGAGTAG